TTGCAAACCGTGTTCTAGATGATTGTTTGAATCCAAAGTGCCTTTTTTAGTCTACAAACATTAGTTGCTTCTGCATCAATAGTGAATCCTAGTAGAAATTTCTTCTTGCAAATCTCCAAATAGAAAAACATTATTTACATCAAATTGCTACAGTTGCCAATCAAAGTTGGCAGTTAGAGACAATAGGACTCACACTATATTCATTTTGGCAACTGATACAAAAATTTCTTAATAGTCTATCCCATAAGTTTGGGTATATCATTTGGTCATCAATACATTTTTATGGTACCATTAGCCTTTTTATCTTGCCAACCGGTACAAAAATCTCTTGATAGTCTATCTCATAAGTTTGGGTATATTCCTCAGTCACGAGTCTTGCCTTGTACCTTTCTATGATACTATTAGTCTTGTATTTTATCGTGAACATCTACTTGCATTCTACTGATCTCTTTTTTCTTAGGTATGTTTACCACTTCCGATGTTTGCCTCTTCTCCAAATCTTATATTTCTATATTTGTGACACATTTCTATTTCTCACAAGATAATGCCTCAGATGATGAGTTAAGAATAAACATTACATTTACACTAATGAGAAAGTTTTTAGTGAGATCAAGGATACCTGTCAAGTGACACAAAATTTGTAATCAGGTAGAGTGGGTGTTTAGTACTCTTCGTAGTCCCTTTTCATATTACAATAGGTATATTTATATCAAAAGGCAAAAGATTATTAGAGGTTACATCATTCCCAAAACTTGATTTAGATGCTTGAACTTGCTTCAATTTAGCATCCAAATTCTTCTTCCTTAAGTACATTTGAGAGAACCATGGTCCTATATGGTTTACTGGTCTAGGTTATTGTCTTGATGGGGTAACTGGGGTTCATTTCTTGGACTTTAGGGTAACTAAGATTGTGTAACGTTTGGCCGTGTAGAAGGTAGTGGGATCTCAACAGAAATTAAGTTTTTATGTTTTGATACAGACTCTCTCTGAAGATAAGCTTTGGTTGAAGAACTTAATTCTACCAAGTGTGACATCTATGATACATAAAATTTTTTACTGAATGATAATAACATTTGTACCTCTTTTGTGTAGATAAATATCCCACGAACACACACTTTATGGACCTTGAGCCAAGCTCCATGGGACTCTGAAACTCCAACACTCTAAAGATAACCTATTAATAAGATAGGTGACAATTAGAACAACCTTTCCCAACATTGCTTGCACACATTATTCTGGAAAAGAAGGCACAAGTAGTAGCTAGTAAGTGACTTTTTCTTTTCAGTTACTTCATTTTGTTGTGGAGAGTGAGCACAGAAAGACTCATGAACAATCTCTTCA